TGGTTAGATCCGGGGAGGGGTTCTCTGGGGGGCAGTGGGGGCCGGTGGTTAGACCCAGATGACCAGGGTGCTCCCAGCACTTTTTCCCAGCTGGGACCCTTGGACTCCGCAGACACCGTGTGCCTGTCCGGGTGTCCCTCGTGGGGGTGACACCGAGACGTCAGACAAATACACAGCTCGTTTGGGCCACTACTGGTTGTGGGGGTTCAGCTGGCAGCTACAGAACAAGATCCCTGCCCCCAACCGAGCCCCCATTGCGCCAGGCGCTGCAAAGATCTACCCCGGCCCACCCCAGGGGCGGCACAAAGCCCTCCCCCCATGAGCTGGGGCCCCTTTCACCGGGCACTGCACAGACAGCCTGAGAGCCAGGCCTGCCCCAAAGAGCTTCCTGTCCAAAGCAGGCTCCATCTGCCTATTTTCCCACCAGGTAAACTGAGGCCCAGCAGGCTGCTGTGCCGTGGGCCAGGCAGGGAGGCTCTCCAGAGGGGGCGGGCGTGGGTGCTGGAGACAGGGCCAATTTGCCGTATGCAGCTTGGTTGGCTCAGTCATGGATTCCAGCCACGGCTCTGGACCAGCATGGGAGACGGGGCTTTGCTAGTCACTCCGGGTGGTATCAGCCCTCCGCGCGGGGGCCCCACTGCCAGGAAACCACCCACGGCCTTGGTCCCAGCGAAGAGGCAGCGCCCAGCTGAGCCCTGGGCCGCCCCACCTCCTCCAGGGGATTTTTGTCAGGACAGCGAGGCACTCTGCCTGGAGGATGATTAACCCTCATGCTTAAAGGCAAACTCTAGCTATTAAAGGCAGGGAGGAGACCCAAAGCAGGTGGCTTTTCCCTGGACTGAAGGGATCTCACACCCTCCTCTGATGCTCCTGGCTTAGCCTGTGGGCTTGGCTGGGCTTCGGTTCTCATCCCCAGTGGGAACTTGCACCCCCTGGGACAAAGCAGGAGTTCTTCTTGTTCACTGGCCGTGCTGGAAAAACCAGGGAGGGGGGAGAGACGGTTTCAGGTCAAAGTGACCGTCGCTGGTGAATCAAATCGACCCCCGAAATCAGCCCCGGGACCCCGACGGTTTCTTTCTTTCTTGAACTTTTGAAAAAGTTGTTTCCGGATCAGCAACTGGAAACGTTTTGGCTTGAACAACATTTCGGTCCCGCGTCGAGCACGTCCCTCCCCCGCTGGAAGGAAACGTTGAAAGAAGAAAATGGAACTGAAAACTGGAAATCTTTTATTTTGCAAAGGTCGGCACGGAAACTTTTCGGTCCAAATTTCATTTATTTCAGCTTCCCTGGTGGCTCCCTCCCCGGCCTCCCCTCGGATGAGCAATACGTGTCCCTTTCAGGTCGTGGTTGAGGCTAACCAAGCCGAGTTCCTGGCTCTCCAGGCCTCCTCTGCAGCTGCTCCTTCCTCCTTCCGCGTGGGGATCCGAGTGGGCCACAGGATTCCAGATGAGGAGGGATCAATACTTCCCGCTCTCAGCTGGAACTCTCTCGCCTCACCCATCGCAGGGCTGCTTTGGCCTCTCCCCCGGCCGGCTCCCACTGGTGGCTCCACGCTGTCGTGCAATTGACAATTGATCTTTCCAAGCAAGGAGCCCTCGTTCACAGCTGCCTTTCTTGGTATACGTCCCTAAGGCATGTGGCCTCTTCGATTTCATCCTGTCTCTCCAACCCATCCTCCCCCCCTTCCAACTTTTGGGTCATCAGCAAATTCCAGTCGCGTGCTCCTGTTTTTTGTGCCGGGGTCATAAAAGTTCTGATCCGGGTTGGCTATCTGGTTGTAGCCATTGGAGAAGAATGTTGGACGGTCCGATCGGGCCAACCCTTGGTCCTGTTTGGTTCTGGCTATCGTGGGCAAGAGGAGGCTAAGTCCAATGGTCCTTGATTCTCATCCAACCTAAAACCGGACCTCTAAGAGACGTGCTCTATTTGAACCACCAGATACGGGCTAGATGTAGGAGTCATTGTGTGTGGAGTCAGCCGGCCGACGTGGTCCCTGAGGCCGGGCTAGATGGGCCCCTCTAGCGACCTCCTTCAGGCTGTGTGGGTCCTGCGGTGCCTCACCAAGTGGGAACTCTGCCCAAAGTTCTTGCCGCATTCTGGGCAGCCCCAG